GCGCTGTAAAACAGCAGCGAGAGTTGGGATGTGACATTGGATAAAAAAGTGGCTTAAAGCCAGTGCTGGATATATAAGCGCTGTTATAAGAGTCTGTTGCCATAAGAGGGCAGCACAGCCTCAGTCTCCTTGTGCTTTTTTCTGGAAAGATGGAGCTAAATAGAGCTGAACATACCATTGGCAGCTGCATTGCCACTGCAGTGCAATGGGGAAAAAACACAATGTATCCCCTTAACTCATTATCTCCTCCCCAGTCTGAGGTATTACATTTGTTTGTTATTCTTTTTATTTGACACACTGTTTGAGTGAATGTTGTCTTTCCACAGCATTTACTTTTTTACATTTTGTCATTCAGACTGAATTAGATGTCCTCAAATTGCAAAATTGCTCACTGAAGCTACTGTTTGAAACGATCTCTGCAGCTCTCTTCTCTCGCCTTCTTTAATTTTGTTGTCCAGCACTGGACATATGGTGTCAATTTGTGGTTTTATTATACAGTTGAAGTTCATCCAACATAACCGCAGTTTCATCCTCTATTTTTATGTGTTCCCTTCCTATGATTTACTAAGGCCATTTTTTTTGGTCTCTAGCATTTTATGCCATCACTTTTTAATGTGTTTTTTTTTTGCAATTCATGATTTACAGATGAGGCTCAGACTTGAGTCAGTTTAGCTCCACATGCAATACATTTCTGAGACATAGAATAAAATGACTTGTATGAGATAATACATCCATACATATATTTATATATTTTATCAATACACAAGCTTTTAAAATGTTGAATTGCAATTATGAGCAACTGACCTATGACATTTATTTAGTATTTCATTTATGTTAAATCCATGATACAAACCCTTGTCTCCACTAGCTGTCAGGGTGAGCGCTGTCACTGCTACTTTAGTTTTCTCTGATTCACATAAACAACACATCCCATTACTCCCGCCTCAAATCAGAAGTGGACAAGGTAAGTGATGGATGACATCGCCTCCAGGCTGCCAGCAGGGATTATTAGTCCTCCGCTGAATAATACCTCAGAAACCGCCCTGCAGCAGCATCACTTCCACAACTCATCCCAAATGTGACATGGATTTCTTTAGAGTATTGTTGACTACTTTTAAAGAGTGAACCTCTGAGTTAAAAAGCAGAAGCTACAGTATATTTTACTGATGCATCAAAGGAGCAGAAAGCATCATGCGTAATCAGCAGGCACCTTTCCTATCTCCTCAAGGTTAAAGGATAATATACTCTCCTCTGCGTGGTAACGAGAAGTCTTGTAAGCTGGTCATATAAAATCTACCCTTCTCAACTGAACTTTGCCAGAAAGCTGTCCTCATGGTTGTAATTTAAGCTGATGTTGCCCCCGGACTGGATCACTTGCTGTCAAATTGCAGCCAATAAACTCGATAACAAAGAATCTATTATGGTACCATAAATAAAGCTTTTACTTTAACTTGTAATATTTGATTTGTAATTTTGGCAGGATTTGTATGATGCTTACTGATATTTATATTTCCTCCTATTGCTTTTTGTGTTAGATGCTGAGATTGTAGGATGGGTTAAAAATTGTTTTAATATGGTATTAAAACAATTCCCATATCAAAGTTCAGTACAAAATACGTAAAACGTTTAATTTGAGGCTACAGCTGTGGGATTCAGGGGGGTCGCATTAAGTGGGTAATTTCCAAAGTAACTTTGTTAAAAAAATCTTCCTTTGTGTTATTTCCCCTCCACTGTAACTCGGAGAGTGAATCCTTTCAACTGAAATACAAAAAGGGGAAATACAAAGACTGTAATTTTACTAACTTTGGCTGCTGAAGCCTCATATTAAATAGTGTCCCTATCACTTACACTGGAATCACTTGAGAGGGGGATATCTTTGCCAGCACAGAACAACGAGAAAAGACAATTGCCAGAACTATTAACACTTTCAATGTTCAACTGGGTATATGAGTCTTGTTTTCTGAAATACCACTAATAGTGAGTAACGACTGATCCATTCATATGTTTTTTTCTATTATTTAAAGTCTGAACAGAATGTGTTGCAAGTGAATATCTAAAGTGGAGGTTACGTTCTTCTATTTCACTTCACTTCTTTTCCAGAATGAAATCTTTCAACTGTATAGTTATTGAAGCATCAAAGTAGCCTTTCTTTTTCTGCCTGTTTCATCCTGATTGTTAATAATGGGTAGATACAGTATGTTATTTTCAGGTTGTCAATCAAAAATAACACCAATTTGAAAAATGACAATATTAAGTGTATTTCCTCTCCACTCTTTCAGACTCAGAATATCATGTATGACATGATATCGGACTTGAATGAGAGAGGAGAGGACATGGAGAAGAGGATTGCGCTGCTGGAGACAAAACTGGAGACTCTACTGAGTAACTTGCAGGCTTTACCGGGACTCATCAGCCAGGTCATCAGCCAGCAGCACAGGGACTTCCTGGAAGTGCAGCTCCAGCCTTATGACAAACACAGCCCTGAGCGCTCACAGTCAGTGTCCCGACGAAGGTCGTCCTCCACAGCACCGCCCACATCCTCAGAGAGCAGCTAGAGTCCAAGGGGCATGCCTCCACTGATGACTTTTGCCATCATATGGCCAAGTTGCATTTATCGTAAAGCCTTATGGTTTCAATAAGTATTATCCAAATTCTGATGACAGAATCCACAATACTGGGGACAATGCATTTTAATGGATAACTTCATGCTGTTATTTGTTTTCTAATACCTCAAAAGATGATGTTATCCTTGCTCTGGTGACATGACCCCAAAGGCACTTCCCTCAGTAAAAGGCCTATCGATGGGGGCACGATACAAACTCTACTCCATCTCTATGCAGAGATAGCCAGTTTTACGTGGCAAGGTAACCATAAGTGAAACTATTGCACTAAAATAGTGCTTCTCACAGACTTTGTGCTTCCGCTGACTTGAGTCAGTTGCCGTGTTCCTCAAAGCAAACTGAGAAATCACTGAGAAATCAGTCAAGAAGCATGACAGTGATATTGGGGAAAAGTGCTGTGTTTGATGGACTGGAGTGAACTGAGAGGAGGCTGCAGATGAAAATCACTGCTGCACACTGTCACTCAGAGATAACTTAAAAAAGCTTGAAATGAGGGAAAAAAGCATATATCTTTTAGGTTAGGAACAGCATCAACTATAGCGATTTTCCTTTGCAGGGCGCCCCTGTAGAATGACTATTTTTGGGGCGACACTGCAAATAATTTAATCCTTTAGTCAAAATGAATGCATCAAAATCTGTACTTGCACTTACTTTTTAATCAATGCACTTCAATGCTGACTGACGTATTATATAAAAATGCGTTGCTCATTAAAAGAAGAACATTTGAGATGTTTGGGCATGGGTTTATTATTGTCAATTGTCAAGTTGTGGCTAATGTTGATGAATCAAGTCAAAGCCCTTTTTCCCCCACAAAGAAGCATTAACTTAGAGCTGTAGAGATATGCAGGAGTTTATTTAGTGGTCAGTAATTACCCCTTGTCTTGCTGTGTCTCACCTCCTGTTCATTTTTTCCCTGTGCTATTTATGCTTGCTGTCCCCCCAGCCGGGCAACAACAAATGCTGAACAACAACTCGCTGAAACACGTATCTACCTTTTAAAAAGAAAATGCCTATTTTTATATATTTTGATGAGGACAAGCACACCTCCTACAACTAAACAAACAATAACGGGGATGTATGAAGCGACAGATTCAGCATATCTAGCATTTGGTTTAAAATGTATTGGACTGTAGTTAAGATACATAAGTTGTCTATTCAATTATTTCCTGATCTTGATTATGGACTATTTCAAATTTATATTATTCTTTAGATTGCATTTACTTTTTACAACAAAGGCTTTTGATGACAATTTTTGACTGAGCCGGATGAGCAATATTCAAGAGCAGAGCTGGTAAATCTATCTACAATTTGTATTAGGTTTTGAATTGTTCAAAAGTAAAAAAATATGTATAAGTAAATATCCTCTTTGGCTTTTCATACAGTCAATCTCTGTATCGACTGTTTGAAAAGCCCTGATGTGGCCAATATACCCACTAGATAGATAATATTCACTATACGAACATAGTTTTAATGCAACCTTTATTAAGGTTCACAGAGCATAGCATGGGCCAGAGGAGTTAATCCAACTGACAGCACTGATCTTGTTCAACCAGCCCACCCACTGACCAACAAGTCAATGATGGTCAACAAAATGACAGATGTTCAGTCCACAAACTTCAGCAACATAGAAACCAATGAGAGATTATACTGTATGCGACTTAAACAATAAACAATTAAACAATAACAAATATGCAAGTTGTCTGCATCCTTTTTTTGTTGTGAGAGGATTTGTATTTATGTTTGTTTGGGTGTGTTAAATTAGATTTTTGGCATGACAACCTTTGATTGTCCACTGACCAAGACAAATAAAGGTAGGTGTTTTCAGGGTACATTTTGCACTGGGTGATAATATGTAAGTATCCTAATGTACACTATGAAAGGCTGACCATCAGAGAGAACAATACCACAATGTGAAAATATTTGAGTACTAGATCCTAAATGTAAATTCTACTTAAGTACCTTAGTGTTATCAGCATAACATACTTGAAGTGGTACCTATCAAAAATAGAAGTAGAAACGTTCAATGCAGAAAAATACAGCTAAACTCACTCAACTCAAAACCAATGTTATTTTTAGTACCTTGTTTGGTTCAGTACCTTGTTAATATTGTTTAATTGTGTGTTGCAGCATTGTATTACACTGAACAAGGAGACTTTGTTTTTCTAATTGATAGAAAAGTTTATAATCTTATCAATAGTTTCCATGTCAAGGAACCTAATGACTTAATCAATGCAGAATTGTAATACTACACTGGACAGGTAGGTATCATCCTTTTTAACTGGATTTCTTTCTTTAAAAAAAAAAATTCAATTCATTTCCATTTTTCGCTCCTAGTTACTCTGTCCTGTGAGTCAACGCTGCGGGCAGATTGACAGGCCTCAGTCATCGCGAGATTTCCCTCGAAGAGGCGCACAGTGGCTCTTTCGTGGTGCGGCCCCGTGTGTGCATGCTAAAGAACATCTAACTTTGCCAAACTCCACGTACAATCTTTCCAATTTCTTTCGGTAACGTTGGTGGAACACAGGAACATCCGCCATCATGAGTATACTTATCAAAATAGCGGAGATCGAAGCCGAGGTAAGATATTAATAGACAGCCGGTGAATCAGTCACGTTTTAGCTGCACGCTAACGGCTAGGTAGCTAACTAGCTGTTAGCGCTGTAACCACACAGCTAACACAGCTGGGCCACGTATATTTAAGTAACTTATATTTCTAGCACACCATTACTTGAAAGTTAAGAGTGTGTACGAAAAAGTAGTTATACTTGTTCACTTTAAATATATTCATAACCAGTTGTAATAAGTTATAGGGTATTGCTACATTAGGTCAGTAACGTGGATACAGTCACTGCTCCATATTGTGTTTGAACGACTTGTGACCAACCGGCTAACTTTACATATATAAATATATATATTAGGCTATAGGCTAATGGGGTTCCACCACAGAGATAATACAAAATGGTTTAACTGAGAAAATTGTGATATAGAGAGGATAAGTAAAGAAAAACCTCCAATTCAAACATATTCCAATTGTTCTCAGTCACCATTGTCATTTCTACCAGCTGGTTGATTTAGAGTTTACCCTTTATTTGTATCTTAAAAACAATCATCGGTTGACTATAGGAACAAGTCAACTGTTTTGGAATATTTTAGTAAGTAAGTCCTCTTCATGGTTATGGTTATTATAAAGTATCCTGCTTATGGACTTCCAAGGTATGCGATTGTCCCCCCTAAATATGTAATGTATAGTTCTTCACAAGTTATTGTTTTTCTCTAGTTGTGTATTATTTAGTTTCTTTTGACTGTTGCTAGTAAAAACTGTCAGAACATACTGCACAGTCCACTTACTACATGACTCACTGCCATTTAAACAACAAGTATAACATCTGATGCTGGTATTGTTAACTGTAGATGGCCAGGACGCAGAGGAACAAGGCCACAGCTCACCACTTGGGTCTGCTCAAAGCAAAGATTGCCAAACTGAGGAGGGAGCTCATCACCCCAAAAGGAGGTGGAGGTGGTGCAGCAGGAGAAGGTAAGACCACACGCTTACAGTTTCGATAGGTTTGTTACATACATGCCTATAAGCCTTTTCTGCCATTTAAAACATAACATTGAATGTGTAGTTGATTTGAATTGGGTATTCTTTTACTTTTTCTTTCAGGCTTTGATGTTGCGAAGACCGGTGATGCCCGTATTGGCTTCGTTGGTTTTCCCTCAGTGGGGAAGTCAACCCTTCTAAGCAACCTGGCAGGTGTGTACTCTGAGGTCGCTGCCTACGAGTTTACCACTCTTACCACGGTACCTGGAGTCATTCGTTACAAAGGAGCCAAAATTCAGGTACAAGAAAGTCCTGTTTGTTTAGTACCTACATTAGAGTTTTCAGTGTGGTATGTTTTCAGTGGGTTTTAACTTTCTTTCCTATTCCCTTTTTAGCTCTTGGATCTCCCAGGAATCATTGAGGGGGCCAAGGATGGCAAGGGTAGAGGCCGACAGGTCATTGCAGGTAAAGATGTGATCAGTGGGGTTCTGCTAAGACACGTTTCCATTAACGAAATATGATAAGAGGTGCATCTTTGCCCGGTTCAAACAACAACATTTTGAATGCTTCTAGGTTCATTCATTGTATTTATGGTTTTCATTATAAAACATGGTAATTTGATGTGTAGTAGTAACACATTTTAACAGGGAATTTATTATTTTTGGTTCTGTTTTTTTCTTTAATAAATGTCCATATTTTTTTCATTTCAACAACAGAAGCGGTGAGTCTTTTATCCTCTCTGTCTAACTAATATCTTCTCCCTCCTTCCTGTGTTTTAGTGGCTCGAACTTGCAACCTAATCCTGATAGTGCTCGATGTGTTGAAGCCTCTTGGTCATAAGAAGCTAATAGAAAAAGAGCTGGAGGGCTTTGGCATCCGACTTAACAAGCAACCACCCAACATTGGCTACAAGAGGAAGGACAAAGGAGGCATCAACTTCACCTCTACAGTATGTCTCACACGGAGTAACAGCAATTTAAATACAGAAGTGAAAGCTTCTCACAGTTTCCACAAATTCTCTAAAATGAAGAGTGTAATGGTCATAAGGGTTTTTAGTTGACTTTAGTAAAGTGTCTGTGTGACAGTGTTTTAAATGCTGGTCCTTTAATTGTCCTTCAACCAATTGAGCTGAAAAAGTGAAATTATCATGAAAAGGACCACCACTCTATACCTCAATGGTCTGTGAAAGGATCTCCCTCAATATAGCGCTTATTCTGGCATGCAGGATTTTAGTTGTCGGGGATATCTGTAGATGATTGTCGGTCTGTTTTGATAGTGGTCATTTTTCAGGCATCCCATTAGTTTAAACAAACATGTGAAAGCCTTTTAATACTGTGTGTTTGTATAGATGAGTTATTTGAAGGTTGGCACTGATTTGCAGAATCAAATGCAGACAACACGTTTTTACATAAGATGTGTATCACCTTGGTAACAAGCAATGAAACCCTTTAAAATGTCGCTCTCTGGTGGACATGTATGAGAGTACACTTAACTAAATTGCTCATGCACATTTATTCTTCTGTCCTGCAAAATATCAGCATTTCCTTAGCATTTGGTAACCATCAGCCTCATGTTATTTGACTGATAGATTTCCATTATAAATTATTTCTTTATTAATTTCATATTAAATCACTGTATTGTGTTGACATCATGCCTGTCATCCCCTCTCTCATCAGTGTGTCCAAACGGAGCTGGATCAAGATACTGTTAAGAGTATCCTGGCAGAGTACAAGATCTTCAACGCCGACATCACTCTGCGCAGCGACTCCACAGCTGATGACCTCATTGATGTGGTGGAGGGAAATCGGTAAGCTGCTGAAGAGCTAGAGTGGGCCTTTCTTAGTCATTTCCCGTGGGTGTGGCTTCTGGGAATCATAAATGTCATTTAATTCACACTGCAGATGCATATGAAAATGCTATTTTTGGGTTCCAATCACATATTTTAGTCCACTGACACATTTTTTTCATTATATGTATATTGCAAAAAGCTGTAGGACTTCCATTACTCGATGAAAAAATCTGCAAATATGTTAAAATTAAGCAGATGGATAATGTAGGGTGTGGCTTGTGCAGCGGGTCTAACTCCTGTATACTGGAAAAAGACCTCATGTCCCAAGACTGTCTTTCTACATTTTATTGAAAGGCACCAGACGACAGCCTAACCTTCCTGCAATTGTAATGAAACGGAGCATCCACAGGGTCTCTCCTGCGTAAATGCTCTCTGCGCCTTGCCAGGGTAAAGACCTGAACAAAAGGGAGAGCATAATGCATTAATATTGCAGTGGGATAAATAAAAATCTTAGAATATGTAGCGGCTATTTTTTCATTCTCTAAAATATTACAACCGGAAGAAAGACAATATCTCACATGTGCATTTGTAGAGAAACAAAGCATTGTCTACATGCTCTATTAGCATAACTGCTCTCTGTGTCTCACACAATGGACAGTCATAAAATGCTCCATTCTAACTAACATGGTCCCAGCAGTACACTACTACCTTTAAGGATACACAGCATTAATACCACCGGATTAACAGATTCACATTTAATATTGAATACAATTTTATTTACAAATATTGGTACATTCACATTACACGTCTTAATTAACTTAGTGTTACAAATGTAGCAGAAACACAAAGTCAATGCAAAGAACATGCTGTACAAGATGGGAAAAAATGTCCTCTGAAGGACATGCACATGAATTCTACATATAAAGATTCTCCCATATAAATACATTAACATCATTTTGGGAAGCATGGAAAATAGGAATATAACACAAGAAGGTTCAACATGCACCTGAAGAAAATCAATAAATGCAAAAAAGATTTTACTGAATTTTGTATATCATATTCACTAACACGACCAGATAATGCAGTAAACGATTAACAGCTGTTTGCAATTGTTGTAATTTTTTGTTTGCTGTATTTAATAAAATACATCTGTTTAAGCCGACACCACCATGGTGAAACCACTTGATGTATGTTTGCTCACCAAGCAGAGATTTAATGGACGGCAGCCACTTACGGTCTCTTGTCTCAACAGGGTCTACGTCCCATGCATTTATGTGCTCAACAAAATCGATCAGATCTCCATCGAGGAGCTGGACATCATCTACAAGGTGCCTCACTGTGTGCCCATCTCTGCTCACAGCCGCTGGAACTTCGATGACTTGCTGGAGAAGATGTGGGACTACCTAAAGCTTGTTCGCATGTAAGTGATGTTTCAACAGTCCCCACTAGGGGGTGTGCATGGAGGTGGAAGAGAGTTGGGGATATAAATGGTGCATGATGAGCCTACTGTATGTTAGATATAACATGTTGTTGATTCAGGCTGGAAGATTTGACTGAGATCACGTGTTCCTTTGCAGCTACACGAAGCCCAAAGGTCAGCTTCCTGATTACACGTCTCCTGTCGTGCTCCCTGATGAACACACTACTGTCGAGGACTTCTGCTTGAAGATTCACAAAAGCCTCATGAAGGAACTCAAGTAGTAAGTACTATCTATTGGCTTTCATTTTTCTTGCACACCGCTCCCTACAGAACTGCTGCCCAAGCACATGTTGGAGATATTAAAGGGAGGAATAGCTATTCAGTTATCAGACATCTGGTGTCATTTTAAAGTTATATGGACAGAATATAAATAGGTGTATCCACAAAAAGCTATCTTCGTACCTGGCATTGTTTATTTGTATTCATTTACACATGAATTAGAGCTGTAACATCATTAAAAAGTATGTGTTTGTTTCTTTTCTTTACCTTTTTATGGAAAGATGACAATGTTGAGGCAGAAGGCTCCTGTAATATTTTGTATCTGCTTTATTTCATATTCCTTCTTGCTAAGATGTGTTGATGTAATTAAACCAGAAGGAGAAGTGGGCAACAAAGGTTTAAAACAACAAAGTCACTTTAATCACTGCCATTGCCCTGTTTACGGTGAGGTTGTCCAGATAAGCATTAATTCAAGAGCCTGGATTAGGATCTGAGATGATGGGTTGCACCACCTTCTCCAAATGGAAGAGCTAAAACCATCAATCAGTCGGTTTGTTAGTGCTGCCGAGCATTACCTGTCCTCCAGGGAATAAATGGGTCAAACAGTGACACCCACGATTAGAAAGCCTTTGTAACTGAAGGATTGCATTGCACCCTGTACCTTATTTTATACTCCAGAACCATTCTGTAGCACAGAAAAAATGTATAGTACCTATTTAACCAAAAAAAATTTGATTTGGATTATCACATGACACTGATCCTGTTTTACATGTCTTAAAGGAATAATTCATGTCAAATGATAATATAATTGTGTCTTTCTTTTAGTGCCCTTGTGTGGGGAGCATCGGTGAAACACAACCCTCAAAAGGTGGGCCGAGAGCACGTGATGATCGATGAAGACGTTATTCAGCTGGTGAAAAAGTAAAAGGAGTCAAAGTCCCTGCATGGCCTGTGTATCACTAAGAGTTCTGTTCAGTTTCTCAGTAAATCACTAAAAATATCTATCGGAGCATCAGCGTCGTGCGGTTATTTTTGCCGTGATTCAAAAGACCTAAATGTAAGTTTCCCATATAGAAGATCCCACAGTACTTGACACCATGAATAGTTCATATTGAATATTGGTTAAGGCTTGCATTGAAATAAAATACAAATCTCTTTAATAAAAACATTAAGAAGTGTTGCTGTTTCATTCTTGCCCAACATTTACCTTTTTTGTTCAGCTTTATATTCAATAAAATGTTGCACACCTCCTGCCTTACATCATGGCTAAGTTCCAAACGCATATATTTATTTTATAGTATGTACAGCATTGCCTTTACACCATACTGTTACATGCAGAATTCATTACATGAGGACATACTACCTTTTCATATCACTTCCGCTCAAACATTTGACCCTTTTTCTTATATATTTGCTGCACAATGGCTACTGGCTTGCATACTCTAAAATGTGATCGTAAGCAGGAGAACAACCTGGTAATTTCCACATATTGCATTTTAACTTTCTTAATATTTTTCTGACATACTACATTGTATGTAACTGTCAGTGTTGAAGCTTTATTCACAAAATGTTTTCGGCAATCTTGCCTTCATCGGGATGGTCCAATGTATTCATCAAGTGTAGCCGGGCACAGTTTTTCTCTCTTTTGAAATCAATAAGATCTAATGTGCTGCATGCAGTCTGCTGCAGAAGCGTCACAGAAATGTTGCATCATTGAATCCTGTGCTCATCACAGTATCATGGTCTCCTTCAGAAACGCATTCAGTAACAGCGTAACCGCGGCCATTTCAGTGAGGCTGGGAGAACAGAAGTCATTTAAAAGCCCTGTCCTGCTAAGTGATTTAGGTGACATTGATGATGGAGGCAGTTATTCAGGTTGCCGGACCCCCCCTCTCTCTGGAGGGGACGGCCACTCAGGTTAATCAGTTCGTTCACTCAGTCGCAGTCTGGGGATATCATACCCCAGCTGTTCACAACTAACAAGCCTCCACAGAGTAAAATAAAGAGCATTTCATCAGAGCTGGGAGCCCTTCTGGAAGCTTGCATTATCTGATGTCGATATGTTGCATGAAGTGTAGCGGCCATTTTGTGTCTGAGCACTTCATACCTGCCAGTGATTCAGTGGATGGTGCCAGTGAGTACCTAAGTATATAGACTATAGTAGTATGATAAAGGCAGAAGGAAATTTAAAGAAGAAACACTTGAAGCAAGAAGATGGATACAATTCAGCTTATGTTTCCAAAATCTATACAGATGTGATACTGGCATTTATTCAGCTGCTTCTGTTTAAACTAAACAACCCTTGCATTTATCTTATACAACACATACAAATGTGTCCAACATGAAAACCTAGGCGTGCAAATATATAAAAAATAAAAGATTGGGGGAAATCCCAAAAATATAAATATTATATTATGTCTACATTTACAAAAACAATATGTAATCATTACATTTGCAGTTGCTCATTACAATTTTCTCAATGTTATTTCAATGTCTCCATTGTAATAATTCACCTTTGCATTTGAGAAGAAACTGCTTTACGAGAACACACAAAGAAAATGTCCCCGCTAATAAATAAGAATACATTTAATCATAAGAAGGGCTATTAATAACGTCCATAAATTACTGCTTACTCTGTGTCTGATGAAAAACACTGTTATTCTGGGTGTTCAACAAGGTCTTAGACATGCAACAGGATTCATGTTCATAGATATGAAAGAAATCCTGACAATATACTCACAACATTTGCTACAATGCAAGACAAGGCAAGTTTATTTATATAGCACCTTTCAAGACAAGGCAATTCAAAGTGCTTTACAAAAATGAGATACATTAAGAGCATTAAGAAACATATTATAAGATTGCCTTTAAAAACACAAATTTAAAAGCAAAGATATCAAATGGCACCTACAACACTATAATGGTCAACGATGATGCTATCGAGTGTATTCGATGTTATCAATGTTTCTTAAAGAGAGTATGGCCACTTTGGTAGGAAAAGCTGCAGTGGTTGAGGGTATTCCATTCCTGTCCCGTAGCAGAAGGACCAACCCTCCTCAGACACACCATCTCTCCCCCAACCCCCTTTTACCCTGTAAATTATGGCAGCACTTTAGCTAATGAAAGAGTTGAAGACCAGGCACTAATAAAAGCCATTAAGTGAATAAAGCACTTCCCCTCTAACAAAATTAAAGAATCTACCCATTTGGAGAGGGAGGACTTTGAATTAATATTTATGAAATGCGGAACCGGCGGCCCCCCCAAAACACCCCAGCCACGTCCAATCCCAGCCTGAACAAGTCCTCCTTGCCAATGCACCTATCCCAAGAGAACATGGTCAACCCCTCCTTGCTTGAAGGAGGGGCAGGAGAGGAGGACTTGAAGGGTGCTGAGGACGCAGCCAGGACAGTCTGTCTGCAGTTGAGCAAGCTTGAAGACCCCAAGACGCAGCTCGCATCTCAGAGTCTCCTTCCTCAGCCCTCAGCCCTCAGCGCGCTGCACCTCACACCGACTTTGGGACCAGAAGATGGAAAGGTGGGTTTCTTAGATAGAGCAGCTGGAGGTTTTCAGTAAGATAAAAAGTACGTTTTGACTAGTTTATTATTTATAGTGTTGTATTTGTAATTTGTTGGGTTTTGACCCTTAGTCAAACTAAAGATTTGTTATACTTTGCTTTAAATCTGAATCTTTTAATGTTAAAGATCAAGAACAGTTGAACATTCTATAGTCAAATTAAGAGTCAGATTCTGAGATGCATGAGTTTGAAGTGCAACTTCTTTAAAACAGTGATAGTGATGATTCATTTCAATTTTTGAGGAAAGAAAAACACTCCAAAAACAAGGTAAGAATCCATAATTATGTCTCACAATCATCAATGCATTAAAAACATCACGCCATCCCATCAGTCACACTGCATCCCTTTGAAACATCCTCATTGTTCTGAAAAACAGAGGTCTGTTTCACTGCCGTCGCCCACCATTTTCACCCAAAGAACTCCCATTTTCGTGCCATTTGGTCAACTAACAAACGCAGGGTTTCACTTTGGTGCATCCATATGCTTTGTGGTGTAATTTCATCACACAAAGTGGTTCAGTTGCCAGAGCTCTAAGTTGATTATCGCACCATGGCTTCTCATTTTAGTAAAAGGTCCCTGGGGAGCTGAAAGAGACACAAGAGAAGGTAACAAGATTGTTAAAGCTTTTGGAGAAACAGATGTCTCTTAGCTTGATGGTATCATGAATCTTGACATTGCACTCAGGGGCCGTTAACATAGTTAGGACTAAATTGGCAGAAGGGCTTGTGTCTTTACTCTAAGAAGTCAGCAAACGTCTTCAAATGGACAACAGTAGTATAGCTATAACTATCATTCTTGAGTCCATTGGTATCTCTGGCCACCAAGTCTCAGGTTTTAGTCAATTAAATGTAACATTTCAAAGGCTGGACTCCATAAGATGTTGCGTTTCCCAACAAGTCACCGACAAATTACCCAAACTCGGTTTCCATTGATCAGTTGAATAGTACCCAACAGACTGATGGAAAACTAATTTGATTTAGCCACCATTCCTCAGGCCTGCTGTAAATCTTTTCCAGAAAATGTTAAATATTTGAACGTTTCTATCATTAAATTGTGATACTTTGTAGATTTTTTTACAATCGTGTTTCTTTGAGTTGGGCGCGACGGGCGGGAGGGTGTGGTTTGTCGCAGTTCGTGCGCAGGAAGGGTGTAGCCCTTTTTTCCGCAGTGAGTTTGACCTGTGACTAATCTTTTTCACACTGCAGATTATTTTAACTGCAACTGTGTAACTATCCTTTTCTAATCATTGGTGAGATTTGTCTTTTTTAACAATATAGCCATTAGCATGGATCTCCGCCCTCACACCTTTGGACTTTTTCAAACTGTTGGACTGAAGGTACAAATCCAGCCATGGGATTGTCCTTCAAATGCAAGAAACTACTTTGACGATGATGTGTTTTAAGAGTTTTAATACTTGATGCATTGGTTGACTAAAAAGTTATATTACGTTTCACTGTTTTTCTCCACTTTATGGTAAGCCAAACGACAAAGCGTTCGTGTTCCTCGGATGCCTTTGAGCGGGATCACCTCTGATCTATGTTGGGTTTTCTGTCTCTGCCCAGGACCCCATTGTGCTTGATCTAACCATGCAGTGTATCTTCTGTCCATGGTTCTGCCAAGCACCTTGGAGGCTTGTGAGCACTCTCGGCAATTTAAAAAACTCAGATTTTAATTTTGAAGTCAGAAATGTAACGCTCAATTTTTTGAATTTGTGTACGAATAAACTGAACTCTAAAATCAAGCAATAAAACATAGATATTTGGAGAGAATCAAGACTATAAAGTATGTTTAAAAAGGACTACCGTTATTTGAGAAGTTTGTTTTATTCTTAACCCTGTTGTTTTCTCTCATGATGTATTCCATATGTACAACCAATAAAGAACATTTTAGCATCCTGTGTGTTTAATTGGAATTTTTTTTTTTATGTTGAATAAAAGTCAACATTGGATATAAAAAATATATACAAAGTGGGCCTCAAAGAATTTATAGCATTCATATAAATAAAACTGTCATTTTCTAAAAGCCGGTTGGTGTATAACATGGCAGATTTGTGGTAACGGATCAATTACTGTAAGTGCTCTGTGGCTTTCAATAATGGCTAATCATTTCAGACAGTTGAGGTCATATATTAAAACAACGGCACTCTGTTAAGACTGCGGACACATCACCGATCTGTAAATCAAACCATGTGATATAGACGCTCGTATGTTTCGTAGACTGAGTTTATGTTCTTGAAATGTTGATAGAAATCATGTTAGCTTTGCTCCTATATAGTGCTATAGTGTCTATGTTCTCCCATAAGTCAAGTCACAACTAGTACATTCAAACAATAAATGTAAAATTATAAAACCAGACTCATCCTTTCTTTATGACTCTTATTTCTTAATGATTCCGGTCTTTGTGCACTGCAGGCGTCATGACTACATACACTGATGAATATTGCTTCAAGACTTTTAAACTTGATTCTCTGTTAGAGTGTCCATTAAAGCGATGAAGTAGACAGATTTCTCTTGTCATGTTGTACAGGGGCAAAGAGCTCTATCCTGGAGACATATTTATTCATGCATTTCTCATATCAAACATTATCCCTGAAAAACGTGACT